CACTCTGTCACCCAGGCTGGAGTGCAGTGGCATGCTCATGGCTCACTGCAACCCCAACCTCCCAGGCTCAAGTGACCCTCCCACCCCAGCCTACTGAGTAGCTGGGACTACAGGTGCATGCCACCACACTCAGCTATTTTTTTTTTTTTTTGTAGAGATGGGGTTTCTCCTTGTTGTCCCGGCCAGTCTCAAACTCCTGAGCCTAAGTGATCCTCCCACCTCAGCCTCCCAAAGTGCTGGGATTACAGGCGTGAGCTACCATGCCCAGCCTCCTCTCAACTTTTTGTCATATTTGTGTTTCCATCTTTTTGTCTAATTACAATATAATTGTATTAAATAATTTTAATAAAACAATATAGTGTTATACATTTTTAATGTTTGTATATTAGGTAAATCATAAATGTATTTTTTCAGTCGTTTACAGATATTTACTTTTCTGCGTAGTCTTTATAATTATTTTTGTCATGATACATCAAATTCACTTGTGCTGTTGTTCTCACCTTCTTGTACTTCTATATCTCTGAAAATTCCTTTCCTGTCTTCTTTGCAATTCTGCTTCTCCTGACTGCCTGTTAAAAGTTGGGTTTCTCTGATTCTGGGGAAGGGATTAGGAAGACATTAGTCAAAAGACACAAAATTTCAGTTGGACAAGAGGAAAAACTCAAGAGATATATTGTACATCATGGTAACTGTAGTTAATAGCAATATACTGTGTATTTGAAAATCGCTCAGATTTTAAGTGTTCTGACTACTAAAAAATGGTGATATAATACATATGTTAAATAACTTGATTTAGTCATTCCACAATGTTTACATATATTAAAACATGGCATGGTGCGGTGGCTCACGCCTGTAATCTCAGCACTTTGGGAGGCCGAGATTGGAGGATCTCTTGAGGTCAGGAGTTCAAGACCAGCCTGGCCCACATGGTGAAACTTCCTTTCTACTAAAAATACAAAAATAAAATTAGCCAGGGATGGTGGCACACACTTGTAATCCCAGCTACTTGGGAGGCTGAAGCAGGAGAATCACTTGAACTCAGGAGGTGTAGGTTTTAGTGAGCCACAATCACAAGCACCGCATTCCAACCTGGGCAACACAGCGAGACTCTGTCTCAAAAAAATAAAATAAAAATCATATCATATACTGGGTGTGTGTGGGTATATATGCATAATTTTTACTTCTCAATTGAAAATTCTTAATTTTTCTTTTAAATTTTGGGGTTTTCTGGAATTATATCCTCTCTTCTCTCCTTCTTCTAATACACTTTTTCAGGGTAGGTAATCTCATCCACCATCTGATGACCAAATCAGATGGTGGATGAGAATCTTAGGTCCAGCCCAAAGTTCACTCTTGAATTTCAGACCCGTATTTCCAACTTCTTTTTTGTTATTTCTACTTATATATTCCTTAGGTATATAAAATGGATCACATTTTCTCATACTTGTTTGTCTCTGGTCATCTAAACTCCTCTCCTTAATCTCACCCTCCTTCTCCTGCCCACCAAGTCCTACTGACTGTATTAATGCCTTCAAAATGTCCATCCTCTCCATTCACTTTGCTCTCTGGTTAGTTCAGGGAATGTGTTATTTAGACAGTTACGCTGTTCATCTAAAAATTTCCCTGTCTTTTTTTTTTTTTTTTTTTGAAATGCAGTCTCACTCTGTCACCCAGGCTGGAGTGCAGTGGCGTGACCTCGACTCACAGCAACTTCTTCCGCTTCCTGGGTTCATGTGATTCTCCTGCCTCAACCATTTGAGTAGCTGGGATTACAGGTGCCCACCACCACAGCCGGCTAATTTTTCTTATTTTTAGTAGAGACGGGGTTTCACCATGTTTGTCAGGCTGGTCTTGAACTCCTGATCTCAAGTGATCCTCCTGCCTCTGCCTTCCAAAGTGCTGGAATTACAGGCGTGAGCCACTGCGCCCGGCCAAAATTTCCCTGCCTATTGTCTAGCCATCCTCTGAGTCATTCTCCCCAGTGTTGTCCAACAAGTCTTTTAAAAGTATAAATCTGATCAAGTCACTTCCAATTGTTTATAGTTGATATGCCCAGTACAGTAGCCACAATCTGCATGTGGCTATTGAGTGCCTGAAATGTAGCTAATCTGAATTGATGTGTGCAGAAGTAAATAGGTACTAGATTTTTAAGAGTTAGTCTAATAAGAAGAAGGTAAAATACATCATTTAAAAAATACATTTGGTTGAATGTTTACTTAATGTATTAAAAATCAATTTGGCCGGGCACTATGGCACAAACCTATAATCCCAGCACTTTGGGAGGCCGAGGCAGGTGGATCGCTTGAGCCCAGGAATTTGAGACCAGCCTGGACAACATGGTGAAACCCAGTTTCTACAAAAAAATATAAAAATTATCCAGGCATGGTGGAACACACCTATAATCCCAGCTACTCAGGAGGCTGAGGCAAGAGAATCGCTTGAACCCGGAAGGTGGAGGTTGCAGTGAGCCAAGATCGCACCACTGCACTCCAGCCTGGGTGACAGAGTGAGACACCAGCAAAAAAAAAAAAAAAAAAAAAAAAAAAATTCACCTTTTTAAATTTTTTAATATTGCTACTAGAATGTTTAGCATTATTTATATGGTTCACCATTATGTCCTGCATTTTATACCTATTGAGTACTGCCAGCTTGTAGAATAGGGTTCGTGTTCCATATCATAGAATTTACATCTTTCATCATCTGGCTACCAATGCCTGGTTCATTTCAACTTCTGCCAGCTTTTGAGCAAAAACAGCTGGGCTTGGTATCAGACTCATCTGAATTCATACCTGGGCCTATCCACCCCAGTTGAAAACATATAGTACTTATCTCAGCGTGTTGTGAGAATTAAAAATGTAACAACTGTAAAGTGTCTACTGTATATAATTTAATTCTCCCAGGTACATTCTAGCCATACCAAACTACCTTCAGTTCTTCTCTTCTTTCTGTTGAAAAGAGCATGGATTATTCAAACTTGTCTGTGACCTTAATGAATGTTTTTGTTTTTTTTTTTGTTGGCGGGAGATGGAACCTCACTCTGTCACCCAGGCTGGAGAGCAGTGGCGCAATCTCGGCCCACTGTAACCTCTGCCTTGCGGGTTTAAGTTCAATTGATTCTCCTGCCTCAGCTTCCCAAGTAGCTGGGATTACAGATGCCCACCACCACGCCTGGCCAATTTTTTGTGTTTCTAGTAGAAACAGGGTTTCACCATGTTGGCCAAGGCTGGTCCCGAACTCCTGACCTCAAGTGATCCACCCCCCTCAGCCTCCCACAGTGCTGGGACTACAGGCATGAACCACCATGCCTGGCCTCTTAATGAATGTTAAAAGTACACAAGCCTCTTTCCATATTTGCTCAATGGGCTCTTCTTCATTTTTCCTGTTTTCACCAAATAGTAGACCTGAGAACCTCAGTGTTTCTCATTTTGTTTTTCACTCAGTACCCCATCCTAGAGAGTTTATTTTAAAAGAATAAATGGTGGCCGGGCACGGTGGCTTATGCCTGTAATCCCAGCACTTTTCGGAGGCTGAGACCGGTGGATCACCTGAGGTCAGCAGATCACCTGAGGTTGGGAGTTTGAGACCAGCCTGACCAACATGTCTCTACTGAAGAAAAAAAAAATACAAAAAATTAGCCAGGCTATGTGGTAGCGCATGCCTGTAATCCCAGCTGCTCGGGAGGCTGAGACAGGAGAATGAATTGAACCTGGGACGCAGACGGAGGTTGTGGTGAGCCAAGATTTCGCCGTTGCACTCTAGCCTGGGCAACAAGAGTGAAAACCTGTCTCAAAATGCAATAAAATATATATATATTTTAAAAAGAATAAATTATTATAATGTAGAAGTCTCAAATGAAATGCAGAACATAATCAAAAAAGATGTTTAGCTTGCTCAGTCCCATAAGAAAATGTGTTTTCATTTGTGATTTCTTACCCCATAGTTAATTCTTTAAACAAAGTAGGATTTAGATTTATCTTTGGAATAGCATCAGAAACGGCGTCTTCTGCCTCTTTCTTCCTTCTTCTCTTAACCCTCTTGCCTGCAAATGTCATCCATCTCAGACTCACACATTTAGCTACCGTCAAAGAAGCCACCTACTTAGGGTCCTTTCATCAGCTAGGCCAGTTAGGAAGAGTGGGCTGAGCCCACTGGGGCTTATCCACAGTGTCATAGAGACTTTCTGGCCATTGATGCTTCGATACAAACATTCTAACAAATGTTAAAAGTTGTTTTTCATGGCCAGAGTTGTCAAAGATAGGAGGAGAGTAAAATGTTTTAAATGCTGTTCTGTTAGAGATTTCCATGAACATCCTCTGAGCATCCCACTCATGGCTTCTTAACAGTTCTTTCCCACAGGAAAACTTTAGACACACAACAGCATTCTAAAAAGGAAGTAGGACTCTGGCTGACGTCTCTAAAATTTAAAATGTGGCCTTTCAGATAATGTGGTCACCTTTTCTTTATACAGTGTCAGCATCTCAAAATGGTAAAGGATATGGATTAGGTAAGAATTGAATGCAAATGTGTTTTGCAAACAGTGTTTTCTAAGATAATCGCAGATGATGGTTGAATGCCGAAAGTATTAATACAATCAGTATTTAACCTTGTGTAACTCCGCTTCATCAAATCACGCCCTGCACATTGATTGCATTAAGCCGGGTCAGTGGTTTCTTGCTTAGGAATATCTTATAAGAATCTTAACAGGAAGGCAGCAGTAGCTGATCAGCTACTGTTTATTTGCATACTGAGCGTGTCATCAATAATACAAAAGACAAGGTCTTTAAGTTGAAAGAACAGTGGGATTGGCATGAATTTTGCTTAATGGTGCATAATAAGCAAAGTAGTCTGTGGTGCCAGAAACTGACAGGATCCATTATGTTAAAACAGATATATGTCTTTAATTTAGGGGTATTACATAAATCTGACAGTTTTTCCCTTTATTTTCCTGTAGTTTAACTTTAATTGCTCCAAGATTAATTCTGATTTCTCCCTTTCTCCAGAGGGCGATGAGACTGGTGTGATGGATAATCTTCTAGAAGCCCTACAATCAGGTGCAGCATTCAGAGACCGACGAAAGCGGATTCCAAGGAATCCAGGTAAAACCCATTCCACCTCACATCATATTGTAAAATGTGAATGCTCAGAGCAAAGAAACAACACCGAAAAAAAACACAAAAAAGGAAAAATAAAAACACTTCCTCGTGAAGACTTTTTTTAACAGTTGATCTCAGCTCATGTGTGAAATCTCAGCAGGCATCTACATGATTGCAAGTTTCAACTTGGTAAATGTGTCTTCAAATAACTGTAGACTTTACAACAAAAATCGGAAACAAGGACTCCCACTGTGTTTAATATTAAATATTTTAATTGTTATTTTATGAGCATGTGGTTTAGGTGGAAAGTAGTTTAAAACCATAAATGTAATTAAATCATTAAAAGTAATTGGCCCTCAGGACATCACATTAGCTTTTCACAGGTAAGGAAACTGAGACCATGCCTGTTTCTAGAGAACATTTTGGTTTTGCAGCACAGTCTGTTCTCTATGATCCATGTTAATAAAGGGAGGAGAAGCACAGATAATCCAAGATCCCCTCAAATCCCAAAGATTTTGTTTTTATATTTGATTGTTAACAGTTAAAGCCATACTATGAAAATAGATCTCAGGGGATGAAAAAGCGTAGCAGAGAAGTAAAACAACCTTCCTCACCCAAGTGAACTAGAAAGTTGTCCACTTTCTCTGTTCATACCTTGTGGCAGAAGTAAATAATGTAATAGCCCCTCTAAGGATAATCCAAGTCGGCTGAACTGTCTATCTCCTCTCAGTAAGGTTTTCTATTTTTAGCTCATATCTTTCTTGAAGTAGAGAAAGAAATTAGGTTGGTTGATTTTAAGAGACCTCTTCATGGGCTATAAAGCAATATGGAGAAGTAAATGAAAAAAATGAAAATTAATAGCAAATATGTAAACTCTATTTAATTTAGATTAATAAGATTTTCCTTAAATACCCTGCAACTCCAAAAATGTTCTGTATTTGGACTGGAAGTTACCATGTGTCATTTAATGGAAATTGATAGTTCTCAAAACCATTGCACTGCAACAAACAGGTGAGAGAAATGGGATCCAGAACATAGTTGTCCAGGAAAGCTTTTGGCAGTGATGACCTTCATGGCAGAAGAATATATCAGCTATGTTCATGTTTTTCACATTTGGGTGAATCCTGATGGATATTGGGTAACATTCTGCCTCTGCTATTCATGGACGGTCCCCGGGAGATTAGCTTGAACGTAAGATTTGATTGAGAGGGGAGAAGTGTTTTGGTTGGAGTATAAGACTACTTTTATGTATCTGAATGTATCATAGATGGCCTACAAGAAGGGTGGAAGACTGGAGAAAAAAAAGTAGAAACTGTATTTATATGTTCTTATTCATTTTTAAGGTAATGCTGCATGCCACAATACCAAGAGCACTGCTCATCTATAACTATGAGGCAGCCATTCAGCCTTTATCTGTAAATGAGAATGTTCTACCATGCCATCAGAGGCCTCCTACCACCTCTTAAGAAAAATAAAAACCTTCACTCCTCTTTCTTGAACTGTCAGAGCAATAGTAGTCAGTGAAAGGTGAACTGAAATAATTTTTGCGTCAATTCAGTTCTCTGCTAAGCAACTGATAAAGTAAAAAACATGTTATTCTGGGCCATAAAAGAGCTGCCATAATTTTCCTAGGCTGTTTATTTTTAAAATGCGCATTTGCTAAAGCCCTTGTCTGATTAGTCTCACACCTCATACTGATTATAGAAAAACTGTACTGGGAGAGAGAGATCATTCCATGGGGTTTCTGTGAGTTTGGTACTCAAGGGAATATAGTGTTGTCAACTGTGAAACACCCAGAATATATTCACAAACTGCATAATTTTATACTAGTGACTCCAAGTAATCTAAATTGGGATTTCCTTTGGTTTGTTGCTGGAGTGCCTCCATGAACACATAGGGTTAAAAATATCACTCGACTTAGCTGTGGCAGTCCTTCCAAGTGGCAGCAGCTAAAGCAAATGTCCAGAGGTGAAAAGAAACTCAAAGGCAGACAGTGGTAGTGGTTGGGAAAGCACCTTGGTCATCAGTAGAAGAGCTGGAAATGAGGGGAAGGGACAGAAGGCGCAGAGTTCACAAATCTGCCAAAAACCTCTGTTTACCTCTTTCTTTCTTTTTTTGTTGTGAGACAAAGTCTCACTCTGTTGCCAAGGCTGGAGTGCAGTGGCGTGATCACGGCTCACTGCAACCTCCGCCTCCTGGGTTCAAGCGATTCTCTTGCCTCAGCCTCCCGAGTAGCTGGGACTACATGCTTGCCTCTTTATAGAAGAAGCAGAACCAGGGACTTTTACAGATTTCCTCTTTGTCTCGGCCCTTCCTAGCTAGACCATCTTTTCCTCTTCGTCCCCTGTTATTTTTACTTTTTTGGGCACCTGATTTGTTTCCTTTCCAAGATCCCACTGACTTGGTATTGTTAAGCTTTCCCTGTTCAACGTTGGCATCCTTGATTTTTTCCAACAACCTCTACTTCAACATGAGATAAAAGCAGAAAAGCCAAATTATAAAGAAGGCTATTTCCTCCCAAGTAAAGTGAAATAAAAGGAAAATCCAAAAAATCTAAAATCAGAGTAAACCACAATCAACAATGATGTACTTCTGCTCTCCTTGCCGTTTCCATTACCATTGCTTACAGATGGGAGTTACTGCTATGTAAAATACAGAACTCTACCATTGTGTTTCTAATGGTAATGTTTTTATTTATTTATTTATTATTTTTTTGAGACAGAGTCTTACTCTCTTGCCCAGGCTGGAGTGCAGTGGTGTGATCTTGGCTCACTGCAACCTCTGCCTCCCGGGTTCAAGAGATTCGTGTGCCTCTGCCTCCCCAGTAGCTGGGATTGCAGGCACCCATCACCATGCCCAGCTAATTATTGTGTTGTTATTTTTTAATTTGTTTTTATATTTTGAGAGAGAATCTTGCTTTGTCACCCTGGCTGCAGTACAGTGGCACAATCTCAGCTCACTGCAACCTCCACCTCCTGGGTTCAAGTGATTCTGCTGCCTCAGCCTCTTGTGTAGCTGGGAGTACAGGTGCTCGCCACCATGCCCAGCTAATTTTTGTATTTTTAAGTAGAGATGGTGTTTCGCCAGGTTGGCCAGGCTGGTCTCGAACTCCTGACCTCAGGTGATCCCCCCGCCTTGGCCTCCTAAAATGCTGGGATTACAGGTATCAGCCACCATGCCCAGCCGAATTGTTGTATTTTCAGTAGAGACAGGGATTCCACTCTATTGCCCAGGCTGGTCTCGAACTCCTGACCTCAAGTGATCTGCCCACCTGGGTCTCCCAAAATGTTGGGAGTACAGGTGTGAGCCAACAAGCCCAGTCATCTAATTGTAATGTTTTTAATTTCACATGTAAATAAAATGAGGTGATAGTCTGTATTCTTCATTAGAAAATCAAAATGTTAATAAATGATATGATTAGTTGCCTAAATTATAAATCACCCACTCTGAGCCTGTGGCCCCTCCCCAAGACCTACCATATTTAGTAACTCAGAAGGAGCTGCCAAATATTGCCTCTGATCCATTCAGCAGAATGTACTGTTGCAGTTAAGGGTACCAGAAGGCATTTCAAGGTACATGATCAAATCAGTAATGGTAATTGAAAATATATCTGTTTAACAAAAACCAAAAAAGCTGGGCTTGGTGGCTCATGCCTGTAACCCCAGCATTTTGGGAGGTCGAGGTGAGAGGATCGTTTGAGCTCAGGAGTTCGAGGACAGCTGGGCAACAGAGCAACGCCTCATCTCTACAAAAAATACAAAAAAATTACCCAAGCGTGTTGGCATGAGCCTGCAGTCGCAGCTACTCAGGAGGCTGAAGTGGGAGGATTGCTTGAGCCTAGGAGGCAGACGTTGCAGTGAGTGGCACTATAGCCTGGGTGACAGAGCCATCCTGTCGCTACACTCCAGCCTGGATGACAGACAGAGCCAGACCTTACTCAAAAAAGAGATAACATTAACTGGTGTAGCACGGGCCCCCAGTAGTTGGAATGTACACAGGTGATAAATAGCCACTCTGTTTGTACTGTTGCGTACTAGCTGAATATTAACCCAGATCACAAGCTTTGCTGATGTCAAAATCAGAGATGAGTAAATGAGCCCTTAAATATTCATTTATTGTACGTCATCTGCTGTATAAAAGGTACTATGCTACACATGATGAGGGATGATGTCGAAATAATTAAGATTTCCTTCGTTATAAGACCCCGTGTATTATAGGAAAGATAAAAAGCACAGAAAGACGACAGAATAAGGCAGAAGATAATAAGTATTAAACAGGAGGTGTTAATAACATACTATGTGACTTCAGAGGATGGGACTAGCATGCATTATTGGATATATCAGAAAAATAACCATGGCGGAAAAGACTTTGACGGACGAGTAGGGATTCCAACAGTGAGGGTGGGAGGTGGGGTTAGTGGGCATTTCAGTCAACAGAAATGTCGTTAAGAAAAACAGAGGCAAGAAAGTTCAAAGCATTTTTCAGCACTGGCAAAAAATACAGTAAGAAAATAGGATATATATAGTGTAGAAGTATACAGATAATTCTGGAAAATTACGTTGGCTCCACATCACTACTTGAATGAGAGACTAAGGTGTTAACTTAGAATTCTTTAAGCAATGGGGATTTATTGAAGGTTTTTAAGCAGTGGAGGAACACAATCAAAGTTATGCATTCAAACATTTAATCTGAAGAAGTGTAAGTAGTGAATTAGGAGTCTATGGTCATATTCTTAGAGATAATTTAGAGGTAGAAGGGTAGCCAAAAGGCAAAGATAATCCTAGGGCTTTGAGTATGATTGGCTGAGAGGACAGTTGAGTTACTAAACTATTAAGATCTAAAAAAGGAGTAGTGATAGTAGAAGATAAATTCAGTGCTGGGTAAGTTAAACTGAAAGTGATAGCAAAGCATTGAGGTCCAGAAGTTCTTGGAAATGTAGATATGGATTTCATGACAAAATGGATTCTTGAGTATTCTGAATGTAGTGTGGATATGGAAGAGAT